TTCCCCCCCCCTCCTTGCCAGGCACAATGGGACTGGTGGACAATGATGGGCGTAGAGCGACCGAAAGGGAATGTCTGGACGGAGGAATGGGGGAGGCTGGAGACCGCTGTGGAGGTATGACGGGGACGGAGAGGGACAGGGGGAAAGAGGAAAGAAAAGTCGGAGGAGAAGAGAGAGAGGGCGGCGGGCGACGGGGTGTTTGGCCAGGCTTTTTTGATATTTGTATGTTGTTTTGTGACAGGACGAATGGAAGAAGTTGATGGAGGACTTAGCCGCGCAGGAGGAGGAAACAGGGGAGAGGCAAAGAGACCGCATCTCCCCCCACCCTGCCTCCTATACTACGAGAAGAGGAGGAAAGGAAGGGAAGGGACGGGAGGAGCAAGAGATCCCGGGAGGGAAAGACGAGGACATCCTGGCAGTGGTCCCCCCCAACACGCCAGAGGGCACTGTGCATCGGACAAGCGTAGCCTCCCAGGTAAGAGGAGGGAGGAACAGGGGTTTAGTTGAAAGAGGAGAGACGATATCTGTCGACGTCATCCTCGTGCCACGGCATGGGTGGGCCTCTATCCTCCCTCTCTGCCATCTTTTTGCTCCCGATCCAATGCATCCTCCCATCCTTTTTTCATCTTCGAACCAGCTCGTGGGTATTCTCCTTTTCCCCTTCGTGCTCCTTGGGGGCGCAACGGGGCGCTTGAGTGAGGCCCTCTCCTCGTCACCCTCACGCCTCAGCACTCTCGCCGCTTCCTCCGCTCCATCTGAAGAGGAGGGAGAGGAGGGGGTTGACATTCCTCCCCCCTCCCTTCAATGAGCGACTTGAAGGGGGAGAGACGCAGGAAGCATACCGGGATGGAGGAGATGGGTATACATACTTATAAAACGGACTTACAGGGCTTGGGAACCCCTCAATTTTTCAAGCAGCCTGTGCGTGAGAGAATCGATCTACCCAAAATGCAATAAGGGGAGGACGGTCTTGTCCCTGGCACCATTCAGGCCGACAGGAGCATAGGGTAACCTTTCGAGGTGTAAATAAAAACGACAGGATCAGCAGTAACAGCACTATGCCACAACTCGCGAGAAGAACGTCGATCCAAGTCTAAGAAAAGCACCTGCCACTCATGTAGATTACAAAATAAGGAGCGGAAAGTTGGGGTCGAAGGGAGAGGAGCTTCCAGTAGAGGCAGTGATGTCCGCCAACAAGCATGAAAGGGTAAAAGATGAAAGCATAAATTTTTAGGAGACAGATCTTAAAAACGCTTAGTTACCGGATTAAGTGTCCTGCATGCAAGCTACCGCTGATGGCTTTGAGACCTGGGTCCGCCACATCTTTCTTTCGTTTTGGCCCTTGTCAGACTCCACCAGCCCCTCGCCCTCCGTTCCCTTTGCATGCGTGCGTGAGACAGTGGCATCCACCTTCTTCTCCAGTGCATTACTGTCCGCGTC